ATTTAAACGAACCACGCCATGTATTTTTCAGTGCGCTCACTTCGCTACCGAATATGACACAAGGTCAGTTTAAAGTGGGTTTAACGACAATACCGTGGAAAACTTGCCGATGGTGATTTTCTAAGCGTAGCTTAGATGTGGCACAAGGTCGAAAGTATGAGACACCCAGTGAGGATCAAACTCAATACTCAGTCGTAATTGTTCTAGCGAGACAAGCTTGCACCCAGTGAGGATCGAACTCACTAGGCCGTCGTAATTGTTCTAGCGATGTTGGGGTAGAGAGAAAAACCGTCAGTTGGAGAGACGCCTTGCTCTAACAGGTAACAGAAATAGATTCAAAAACAGGATAATATCTACATAGTGTACAGAACTAGAATAGTTGGGAGACATGCAGATGTGAGTTTTACTCATGATTTCTGGTTCACTTGAAAGTCCTTTAACCCCCCAAAAAAACTGGAAATCAGAAGAAAACTTTTTTAATATACTACTGTTAACCTAATACAAGGCCCAAGAGTAACGCAAGGAAGAGCGTTATTAATAGGATTGTTGTAAGGTCGTACAGGGCGGGAGCAAGAGGTGCATATTATATGTAGGATTGATAACGGTTGACTCTAGACTTGAAGAGGTTAGGATTGTAGTGATTCCATCCTCCCGGGAGTCCGTTCTAAAAGGCAACAGTTCTGAAAGAAGATAAGTTTCCAGACTTCAGCCTTAATCTAGAAATACTAAGGCAACATTAAGGAGACATTCTACCACTTGATCTCGAACGAAAACTAGAATACATGTGAAAAATTCAACGACTATAACTACTACTACTACTACTAGTAGTAATAGTATTAATAATAATAATAATAATGATAATAATGATGACGATGATGATGATGATGAAATACAAGCAAAACGTAAGTAATTTTTAACAATAATGCCAACAAGAGTTTTGTCGTGGAAGGTGCAGTTGTCACCCTAGGACAACTACTAACATTACTACTACTGCTGCTACTACTACTACAACTAGTAGTAGAAGTTGTCATGAAAAGGAGGAGGTGTGGAGTCACGATGGAAGAATAAAACAAACTCAATCATAAACCTCTTTTCTTATTGTATTTTGCCCTTTCTTTCACCCCGAAACACATCGGACCCTCAACCGCCCCTTAATAAGCACATGTATATCAGTCAGGTCATATATTCTGCGCATTGTCCTCAAAATTAAGGTGGGTCAATCCTTTGTAACGCTATTATGAGCAATTCCCCATCCGATTAACTGGACCCAGTGGGTTTCTTTATTTTTAACACAAATTGATAGGTTATTTTCAGAAGGCTGGTGGATGGGCTAAATAGTTACGCTTTATCCATTGTTTCCACTGGCGCCAAAGATCAGTGTTCAGGCCGAGGTAAATAGATGCCTATATATATATATATATATATATATGGGGGGGGGGAGGGAAACAGTATGTAAATATTGATATATCAAGAAATAATTTTAGGGAAATCTATGACAAAGAGGAAATGGTTTTCGTGTGACGCGTTTCGTTCTTTATGAATTCATCAGACTAAAGTTGTTTACGTTGATGTGACTACATATGCGCATGAAGGAGAGGGGACGTTGAGAGTTATAAATTAAATTTTTTTTTGACTGATCTTCAAATACGGACAGCGCGGAGTTGTTTTTTTTTTTTAGTCTTGTCAGGCTGTCGGGGTTGTTTCCGTGGCTCGAAAAGCGATGGAAAAAAAAGGGATGCAGGTTCGATTCCTGTCAGGGGGTGGGGCACAGTTTTTCTTTGGTAAGACTTCTCTATTTAGGCCGTTTGTTATTAATTTCAAAGTTTAATCAAATAAAAAAAAAAGAAACAGTGACAGTAACTAAAACATGTATACCCACTAAAAATAATGTTTATGGTAAAAAGAAATAAAACAGCTAACAAAACGTTGGTCCTTAACTCCGTCGGATCGCCACAGGTCAGGGCGGGGGTGATGGCATCGTGCTTGTTGGAATTTTGGTTGTACTTCACAATTTCAAAATCTATCTATCTATCTATCTATCTATCTATCTATCTATCTATCTATCTCAGCCTGTTCATTATCTATCTATCTATCTATCTATCTATCTATCTATCTATCTATCTATCTATCTATCTAAGCCTGTTCATTATCTATCTATCTATCTATCTATCTATCTATCTATCTATCTATCTATCTATCTAATACTAAAAGTCTGTGATTGCTTTTGTAGTGCGTGCGTCCGTCCGGCGCATAATGATTTACGAGTTCTTTATACAGTATTTTTCTTTTAATATTTTTAAGTTAAAGACAAACACAAAGAGATGCCGCTTTGCCGTTCTTCTAGTTGTCTGTCGAAATTTATATTTCAGCTCTCTTTAAACAAACAATATTTTAAATATTTAAAAAATATGTTTACGTTAATCATATTTAAAAAAATATTTTAAGTGAACAAGATTTAAAAATACGTGTTGTTTATACAGTATGTATTTTTATTTTCACTTTCTTTTAAATATTTAAAAATATTTTTGGCATATTAAAAAATATTTTTAAGTTAATCTGATTCAAAGTTTATCGCGGAAGTTGTATTCTTATTAAATGTTGTAAACAATTAGTAAAACATTAAATATTAACTTGTGAACCAGACAAAGGATGACACGAACGAATTGAAATATTCAACTGAATGATAATAAAATTAACATTCATTTGAATGGTATGTTGAAATCAACTTCAGTGTTTAATAACCTGAACCGTCAGTGCCCCAACTGGTCACGGATAGTCTAGTTTTTATATAACAATATGTAATGCAGGCTTCTTGCCACGACAACATGACTATATGTTATGGGGTCCACCCTTTTCAGATATAATGGCCACAGTCAGGCAGAGAAGAGGAGTCGTACAAGAGTCGTACATGAGTCGTACCAGAGTCGTAGGGTTGTCGGATGGAGTGAAGTAACCTCTTGTAGAAGTCAGTTACAAGCACGTAGACTCTAAGGAAGTCCTACTTCGAGACTGTATATATCTATCTGTATTTGCTACTAACCGTGTTCCTGGATTTTACTAACAGCATTACCTTTTGTATTTTGCGTAAATACATTTAATTTCTTAGCTTAAATACTTGCGTTTGTCATTTATTGGATACCTATTTTTCACGCGGGATCCACAACACTATAGAAGTTGTCAGAGAAATCCACTAATATCTAAGAAGCATGGAGAAGCCAGTTCAAACCAACCAAGTGAAACTATGATCGTCACTCTCAAGAACGACTGATTAATATGAGTCCTCCCCACCGCAATTTGTATTTATCCATTAATAAGAGTTACAGGGGACAAAAGCTTGGCTCCCCATGTCCTGTAGAGACCCAGTATAGAGAAGAAGAAGATAGATTTATTTAAGGGGGAATGATCTATTGACATGTCTCCAATTTGTATTTAGAAAATTGAGATGTAGTAGAGTGGAGGCCTGTATTGTAAATTCGAGGGGCCTCTTATCATAGATTCGGTGGGGGTCCACAAAGTCCTTGTACCGGCCCTGCTTGCCACCACAACATGAAGTTGCCAGTAAAATCCAGGAAGACCTAAAAAGATCGAAGAAGTTAGTCCAAAGACAACTATGTGTAATGACAAAAGTAACCATGAGTAGGCTTTAAGAAAGCTTTAGTCAAGTGAGGCTCGTGTATAGTGTCCTTTTATAGTCCCAGTAAACAGAAATAGTTATCTCAAAGAGGAGAGTATTAAAACAAGGGGAGACCACTCCTTATTATCCATAAGACTCTGATCGTCACTATCAAGAACAATTGTGATTAATTAGAGTCGTCCTTACTGCATGATGTCACATTTGTTACTGTTGCCAAAATCCGTTCTTGTGTTTATCAAATCCCGAGTTGAACGCCATTTCACTACCGTTTACATCGTCACATTTAGTTATGGTTAAGAAGAGTAAATTCGACCAAGTTGTAAACTAGCGAAAACACACTCATCGCTTCACGCTCACTTTGCTATATTTGTTGCTTTATACCAGGAAAGAGAGAATCGCATGAGTTCAAATCATTTTTCATTACAGCTTCTTATAAAGTCAGAATATTTAAACTTACGAACTGTTTATTTTTGGAGTTGATTCCTGGTAACTAAGAACGTAGAGACGGGGAAGCTGCTTTATATTAATTTGTTTATATAGAATCCGACATCTGTAATCCGGCATACCGTGATCCAGCAACACTCAAGGTTTGGCATTAGTCCTTGAAGCGGCTACGAGGGTAGCGCCACAGTTTATTTACTACTTTCCGCAGTAGTCGACAGTAACGAAATGTTTTAGTGATACGGACTTGCTCATTTCTTATATATAGCTGCGTATTTATCCATTCAAGATGCAACCCAAGATAGCAGGAGTTGCATGAAGCAATAAATGTTAGACATTTTCATGACGGTTGTCCTCGAGCATAGAATCCAGAGGATGGCAGTGAATATTTCGGAGACAGTAGGAAAGCGTAGTGCAGGTTCGCAGTGGATATCGCAGCAAAGTAGCAGAGCGTAGTTCTTCCGTTTGTCATGTTCGCCGGACAAGTTGCCTCTGGTCATTCTGGTAGGATAAACAAAGATGACCGCCTTTATACACGACGGATACAGTGTTTTGCGGCTCCTGATTGGTTAATCTTCTATTGGTAGACTATAAAGGGAAATAAGTCATTCTGACTCGCTCACTAGTTACATACGGTATATACCCAAAAAAACCGTAACAATAAAAACCTTGTTTCAAAGCATTAATTTTAAGTTTTATTTCCTGTTTTAAGCTCTGTTCTAACAGCCATATATATGTGGAACGAGCTGGAAAGACTATATATACAAGGGTCTTTTTTTGGAGGTCTTTTCTGTCATCAGGCATGTTCTATGGTGTTAGCAGTGGACAGGTACCAATGATGCCGGATTAACGAGAATGAACGGTATTTATATCGATATACATGATTCTTGTGGTCTACCTCGTGAGATAGTTTCCCATTTCCGGCTTACGGCAATATCACGTTGAAACACCAGTTCCCGTATGATCATTAAAGTTAAGCAACTTTGAGCCTGGTCAGTATTTAGATGGGTGACCGCTTTGGAATATCAGTTATTGTAAGTTTGGATGTGTAGGTGGCATAACAGATAATGGCTTGAAATTGTTAATTGGAGATCTGAGCTCCAATTCCCGTTGGGTTTGTTATATTCACTTACGTGCAAATAACATTGGGAAAGATAGGACTTCATCTCTTTACCACCTCAGCTATTAGTTCATTAGTAAGACTTGCATCACTAAACCATTATTATATAAAAAAGAAAAAAAATTCTTAGGATCTAAAAATATTTTCTGGTTTTAAATAACTTGCATACTGTGTTGATAAGCTGTAGAAAAAGGAACCAATCAATCAAATTCTTATTTCCCGTCAGCGCCGATGATCAGTGTTCGAGCCTAGTTAAACAAAAAAAACAAAAACAAAAAAAAGAAAAAACAAACAAACAAAAAAAGTTGTGGAGCAAGCTAAGTGAATAATAATCCAACCTTTAGAAAGAGAGCTATTTATGGTGCCATGGAGCATCTCATTGTGCTAAAGTGGGATAGTCTATTGCTTGGCTGCTGGTACCTGAGTGGAGGTATTTATATAGAAATACCAGCTTGATTCATCAGTTAGTTTGCAGGGTTTGTATTAAGTTACAACCTGCTTTATTTTTGTCTGCCAGCTGGACGCTAGCTGGGACCTTTACGCCGGTAAGCGCTGTTTATTATTGTTATTCTACATCCCCCCCCATCGCGTGTGGGTAGTGGCCTTTGGGGAGGGATGAGTTCCTTTAAACCTGGCTGGTTGTGCGGAAGGTAGTCTGGACAATGCCCGAGGGGTTTTTGTCCGTGTTATTGTAGACCACTGAGCAGTGTTCGATGTTATTCCAGCGTTGAATGTTTGTGGCACTGGTGTAGGGGTCTCAGGTAAGGCACTAGGTCTGGGAACTGGACGCTAGCTGGGACCTTTACGCCGGTAAGTGCTGTTTATTATTGTTATTCTACACAACCTAACATTTCCGAATACTGATTTTTAAAATGGACAAGCTCTTTCCGCTGGGAAAATTACCTTAAGAAAATCTTCCAAGTCTAGTTTCAACCCCATCTTAGTTTGTGTTTTGTTCAACTGAGATTAGCCAAAACAAGACACCTTTCTGTGAACATTGATTAATGAGGTCATCTTGCAATGTAGAAATATAATTAACTGAACCCAACACTCACCACGTGACCAGCGGTTGTCACCCTGTGCTAGGCTAACTTTGTAAATCTCTGTTTTACGAGATTAGTTTAACTATTGTAGACGCGATGAGACACTTATGCACATTGAAATGGGAATATTGCCAACAATTCGTAATGGTATATTTGTTTAATATTATGAAAATCATAGAAATGTCTTCGAAGTTTACTGCCATAGTAAATGTGTTTGGCTATAAAAGCTATATTTCAAATAGCCTGACATGGTGTGTCCTATAATGCAGGTGCGTCTTATACGCCAAAGAATACTATACTCATACAATAAAGTGCTTACAGTTCAGCCTATGACTATTAATAACGAAAATACAGCCTAACATGCAAATTACAAATTGGAGATACCGAAATCAGACAAGTGCAATAATTTAGATATCTGGGAAGCGTATTAACAGAGGACGGAAAATGTGACACTGAAATCCGAAGGCTCAATGGGATAGAGAAAGATGCCTATCAAAAGCTAAGCAATGTATTAAGAAACAAGAACATTTTGTTAGAAACTAGGAAAAGAGTACTGAGCTGTTATGTAATATGAGTCCTCCTATATGGTTGTGAATACCAGACAATTTCCTCACAGATACAGAAAAAACTTGACGTAATAGAAATGTGATTCTATCGAAAGATGCTGAGGATACCATGGATTGAACATGTATGCAAAGACGAAATTCTAGAGGAAATGGCAGCAAAAAGGATGCTTACACTTAAGATCAGATAGCTGAAATTTTGGGGGCACATAATGAGGAAAGAGGGCATGGAAAATTTGATACACACAGGCCAGATTGAAGGTAAGAGAAACAGAAGAAAGTAACGCATAATCTACCTGGCGAGCTTGAGTGAATAGATGGCCCAGCAGGATTTCGGAGATATACCAAAAAGACAAAAGTTATTAAGAGCTACAAATGGCAGGGAATTGTAGAGAGCCATGATCGCCAACGACCTGAAGGGATACGGCAGATAGCAGAAGAAGCAAAATATAAAACTAATATGATGTGTAACATGCCCGTGTCTCAAAGATGGAGAAAAGGATGTTTATTGAATTGAGAAAAAAAGCAAGATGTGTAAAATGATAGACGAATGAATCATAAAAAAAAAATCCCAGTAACTTTTGTGTCCGTTTGTCGCCAGTCGGCACCGCCGGTTTTCAGACATGTTTTATGTCGTTGTCCTGTCGGAGAAAAGCGGCTTTTAGATAAACGTCACTGCATTTTTATAAGCGAGCGAGCAAATATCCTTCGCGTCCGTTTCCTTAGTAAATGGTCATAAAATAGGGATTTCTGAAATAACAGTTTCTAACCATTTTCGATACTCATGCTCGCTGTGTCGTCAAACTTTACTATCTTCCTTTCCTTCTATTTCTTCTCGTTTTTCTCTATTTTAGTTTTTTTCCTTTGTTTTCTTTTCTTTCGTTTCCAAATTTAATTTCACTTTTTGATTTTATTTTCTTGAAATTTTAAAAAAAATTCTTTGTGCCTAAATTATTTCTGAATTTATTGATTGGCTCTTTTTTATTTCTCGTTTTTATTCAGTTTCTTTATTTTTTTATTTCACTAGAATTATTTTCAACACGCTCGGCTAATACGTGTTAAATTTCTCGCAGTATTTATTATTGTTGAAGTTATCGCTAACATTTTTATCGAGATTTACAAACTCTACGTTTCGTTCAATTTCGCAAAACAATCGATGAAATTCGATTAAGCTGATTTATTTGGAAAAATACTTTGACAAAAACCCTACTTCGCGATTTAATAATTTATTCGATTTAATTTAATTTTATAGGACTTCAAGGTAAACAATATTTTTTTAAGAAAATTTCTTTTTTTCTTTTTTAACAGTGAAGAATAAATTCTTAGGATTTCTTACTCTTGAGTATGCAACATACAACTGGCCATGCGTAAATATTTCTTTCTGGAGCCAAGTTCTAACTTTTTGAAGCGTTTGGCTTTGTGATTTGTTTATAGTTCTCGTAAAAGCAGAGCGAACTGGAAACTAGATTCTTGTATTTAAAAACTTAAAGAAAAGATATGCAATAAAACAATATAGCATTTTTATTAAATATGTATTTGTTATTTTAATTATTGAATCGTTTTTAAAATAGTATTTTTGTATGTTAAATAAGAAAAAATTTTCCTGTAAAATTTTGCTAATCCGTTTTTCTGAAATCGTTTTCAAAACTTTACCGTTCTTGTTCTCTTCATACATTTGCCTTTAGGCGCATTGTTTTTTTAATCCTTTCGCTTCAAGCAAGACGATAAAGCCACTAAGAAACAAGAGGTTACTTTTGGTTGAAATGAAATGAGAAGTCTTTCAAAGAAGGAACCGGAAACCCAGTCCTAAAGAGGAAACCATGGATAAACCTCTACTCCTCTTCAAAAGATGAGGAAGGAATGCAAACCGGGCGATAGGCGAATCTATCTATTCCTATTTAAATAAACGTATCCGCGTTTTATTTTTTTGAAACCATTTGTATGTCTTTTAGCCGATATTTTGTTAATTTTTCCACATTTTCTGTATGACAGGAGAGAAAAAAATAAGCCGAGTAAATAATTTACCTCGTCGTGGAACAAAGGCTAGCAAGCTGGATTTCAAACGATTCCAAAGTTGAAAGCAAATGAGAGAAAAAAGTACGACGCATATTCCTTAAACAGGATAACAATACACACTTGAAGAAGGCTGGAGAATGTATCAGCCCAAAATATGTTAATGATAACAAAGGTGAAGGCAATAGTCTGGATGATATACAGAATAATACCTTCAGGTAATTAGCGATATTCTATAATGATAGTCGTGTGTTGAGGGTGTAGAGAGTAATGTGATTTCTGTTTGGTCTCTGGCATCTTAATTTATCAAATTGTGCACATTTTCTAAAACAAAAACAAAAAAAAATACAAAACAAAACAATCTTTATGAAATGTGATCAAGGAGGATGGAGATATATAAATAAAAGTCGATTGATGTATATCTTTCATGTACTAATATAAAAAATCAAATCACCGCAAGCAAGGCAATAATGCCACTAAGACGCAAAAATTACTAGGAGTGAAAGAGAATGAAAAAACTTCAGAAAGGAACGGAAACCTAATCCTAAACAGGAAACAACTGATAAATTTCTACTCCTCATCAAAAGACCTGGGAGATGTGAGGGCCGCGCGATAGTAAAGACCTATCTATTCCGATCAGGAAAAAAAATTAATAGTAAATATAATTTAAAATTTTAGGCGGAGACGTTAGAAGTATCGAGTTAAAGTAGATGTTAGAAGGAAACGGAAATCCAATCCCAAACATAAAACAAATGATAAACCTATACTCCTGTTCAAAAGACCAGGATGAGTGTGAACCAGACGATCAGATAGGCTACCAAGTGAAAAGGATATCAGTTCAAATTTTGTCTTATTTAGTTACATTTATAGAATTAAATATGACAACTACTTGAGCATCGTCATAAAATACAAGAAAATAGAATGAACGAGAACCTAAATATCAATAATGAAAATCTTTCACCTATTAAATTCGAAGAATGTAAAATATATTTGGTTGCCATATCGTACATTATTAACAAAAGATTTTTAATAAAATATTACCATTTTAGCGAGGTTATTCCTCATTTGCTTACTCAGACATTTTGGCCTTGTGTTCAGATTAAGCAAAGCTAAGTAACAATAGATGCAGGTATAGTAACGGCGCCATAGCAATTTCCCTGACTGTCATTCAAATAATCACCTCAGCAGAAATCCACACGGAAGATCCGTGGGGGCCAAAATTACAGCTACAGGTAACTATTCCTGCAGAATAATGAAATTTGCAATTCCGCTGAAAGGTCGGTGAAGCTCATTAGCATTAATTTGCTTCAGAAATGAAAACTCATAATTCAGTCTGAGAAATTTGCTAGAAAGTGGGTGTACTGTCGTTGGTTCTACCTAACATTTAGACCAAGTAACTCGGTTGATAAGAGAGGCTCCAAGTATACTTTGCTTTTTTTCCTACTCATTCGGCATCTGGTCAAAGACTTCCTTCCTTTCTTCTCCTTTGCGCGATTAAAACAAAGTAAGAACGCGAGAGATGCGTGCTTAAATGGCTGAGTGGAAGCAAGACGGAAGGAGAATAATAGAATGGAATGTTCTTTCGGTGCGCATGCGTATGACGTAAAGAAGTAAATTATGTAACCATGAACATATCAGCATGTTAGACGGATGCTTAAAGTAGACGGCGTACAATAAGAGGAAAAAAAATACGGCTGGTAGGAAATAGGTAAATATATAGAGGTTTACATGGCTTAACTTAGGCAGGTACAAGAATAAAGGGATGAACATTATAAAGTGACTCATAAAATAATTATAGATTAATTGTTTGTAGGATAGATTCACAAAGGATTGTATTACGGTTGGAAAATCATTTACAAATACTGAAATTATCTATCTATCTATTCCAGTCAGTTCATATCTATCTATCTATCTATCTATCTATCTATCTATCTATCTATCTATCTATCTATCCCAGTCTGTCTGTCTATCTATCTATCTATCTATCTATCTATCTGTATCTGTATATATTTCCGAGATGAGGTATTATGTAGATAGATAGATAGATTGTTCGGAGTATCGCCTTCATCTTTGTTGCCATATGTATCACAACGTTTCGGCCGTTGTATGCTCCGATACGGCGATAGTCCGAACAATGTAAATGATCTATCTATCTATCTATCTATCTATCTATCTATCTATCTATCTATCTATCTCAGTCTATCAATATCTATCTACATAAGAACCAAAAGAGTCCTTGCCGGTTTTTTATTCATTAGAAAATTAAATATATACAGAAAATTTGACATACCGTTAATCATCAACGTAATCCTCATCGGCATCCAGAACCTTTTGCTAGCGTGCTTTCTACTGCGCTATACCGTGATGGTAAAAATTAGGTGTCTTGGATTGAAAGAGGTCTGAGACTGCCTGCCGCAAGTATGCCTCATTTGCGAAGGATTTCACACGAAGGCGGTTGTCCAGTAATGTATAATGTTGTAATCTGTTGGGGCAAGGTCCGAAGAGTAAGGTGACTCTAGTCAAGTCGCCGTATGGTACCATTGGTCAACCCCGCCAACGACCTGCTTTGACACCAACAAGTTTTCTCGCCACTGCTCGCCCTAGGACAGATGTGTGTACTCATTTGCGTGTCAGTGATCACTTCTTGACACACGACGTAAAAAATGGCAACGGCATTTTAAGTTAACTTCTATCTATCTATCTATCTATCTATCTATCTATCTATCTATCTATCTCATTCTGTTCATATCTATCTATCTATCTATCTATCTATCTATCTATCTCATTCTGTTCATATCTATCTATCTATCTATCTATGTATCTCATTCTGTTCATATCTATCTATCTATCTATCTATCTATCTATCTATCTATCTATCTATCTATCTATCTATCTATCTCATTCTGTTCATATCTATCTATCTGTCTGTCTGTCTATCTATCTATCTATCTATCTATCTCATTCTGTTCATATCTATCTATCTATCTCATTCTGATCGTTTACTGATATATATGATGTATAACTTCGTCTGATACAAGGTCAGACTTTGTTTCATCTAGTGAGAATAGAACTTATTATAGTAGTAATGGCATGTTTAACTAAAATACCTATGTCTATGTCTCTTTGTCTCATATGAACTCTCTGAGTTATCTCCCATCAACGAAAGCTACACTAGCTTGAATACCACATTCAACGTTTCAATGCTCAACAGGAACATGGACTGGAATTATTTGTTTAACAAAAAAGAATAACATATGGGAAACAATATATAAATTTTGATATATCAAGAATAACTTCAGGAAAACCCAATACAAAGTGGAAAAACTTTAGGGCTTCATCGGACTAAACAAGACGCGTCACACGAAAACTTTTCAACTTTGTAATAGATTTTCCTAATATATATATATATATATATATATATATATATATATATATATATATACCGAGTGTAACAGTGAAATTGTCCAAATCGTGTAACAGCATAATTGTTTATCCCACAGAATTTTTAATATATAAAAAACCCCACTAAACTAATTATTTTTTTTTCAGTTTTTCAGATAAAACGTTTAGCCATCTTGACACCATTTGTCGTAAGAATCACAAAAAAACCCATTGAATTATTCAGCAAGAAAGAGAACAAATTAAAATCATTTTGTGTCAACCTCACTGTCAATGGTGAGAGGAAAAAGATCATTCAGGTCTTCAGTAATTGTACCAACATTCATACTCTAGCTTCCATCTTCAAAGTTCATTCAAGTGCCATCAAGAGAACGGTGAATAATTTAAAAAATAAGGGAACAGCAGAGAAGAAAACTGGATTAGGAGACCACAACAGAAAGAGGGTTCGTCATTTCAGCTTAGGGCTAAAGAGATTAATTAGAATTGAACTGAGTCCATAAGACGTTTGACATGTGAGAAAGGAGTTTCAGCTCTGACCGTCGAAAGAGCAGTGAAAAAAGACTTGAAAAGGTGATCATACGTGAAACCTGTGAGACAATTTTACGCCAGAACAGAAAGTTAGAAGGTTAGAGAGGGCAAAGAAAATCTTGAATAAGTTGGAAAATGATTCTGGAATACTATATATATATATATATATATATATATATATATATATATATATATATATTTGTTTGAACATTATTTCAATCCTTTATGAGCTTCCTATCCGTACCTATGATTAATTAATGATGAACATGTCATTTTTGTTTATGATCGATTTAATCACGATTCTTCTGTTAAGCTTGGAGAGTAATTAGACAGTCTTATTGCTCAAAGTAGAGTCCAATAATGTAAAAAATATCCTCGGAGAATTCAAATAAGATATCTTTCATCATTTCTAAGATACAACGGTTCAACTCTTAATCTAACAAATGGATAATTTTGCTTTTACACGATTTGGACAATTTTGTTGTTACACCCGGTATATATATATATATATATATATATATATATATATTTATTAAAGACATTTTTATTTATGTTTAACGTTGTTATTTTTATAGATACAAGTATTTAAGCAAATGCTCTGTTTATGATAAACAGTATTAAATAACATTTACCGGCCTGAATGTCCGAGAAATTTTCATAGAAAATATTCGTTCATAGACAGGATTCGAACCTGCATCCTATACGGAACCGTCATATACGCTGACGTGCCTTAACCACTCGGCCACCATGAACCTTATGGTAGACAAGGTCGAATTTACTGTTATAAACTACAATCTTCCATGAATCTCGTACATTCATAACTGCTCTGGCGTATCGAATGTAAACAAATGACGTCATATGTTAAGAAATGGACGAGGTCCGACAATTTATTTATTAAAAATATTCGTTCATAGACAGGATTCGAACCTGCATCCTATACGGAACCGTCATATACGCTGACGTGCCTTAACCACTCGGCCACCATGAACCTTATGGTAGACATTCAGGCCGGTAAATGTTATTTAATACTGTTTATCATAAACAGAGCATTTGCTTAAATACTTGTATCTATAAAAATAACAACGTTAAACATAAATAAAAATGTCTTTAATAAATAAATTGTCGGACCTCGTCCATTTCTTAACATATGACGTCATTTGTTTACATTCGATACGCCAGAGCAGTTATGAATGTACGAGATTCATGGAAGATTGTAGTTTATAACAGTAAATTCGACCTTGTCTACCATAAGGTTCATGGTGGCCGAGTGGTTAAGGCACGTCAGCGTATATGACGGTTCCGTATAGGATGCAGGTTCGAATCCTGTCTATGAACGAATATTTTCTATGAAAATTTCTCGGACATTCAGGCCGGTAAATGTTATTTAATACTGTTTATCATAAACAGAGCATTTGCTTAAATACTTGTATCTATAAAAATAACAACGTTAAACATAAATAAAAATGTCTTTAATAAATAAATTGTCGGACCTCGTCCATTTCTTAACATATATATATATATATATATATATGATTACTGTGAGTAAAGTTTGTCACTTAGCTGATTGATGTTACCTTCAGCCTCCAGACCTCCAGAGTTTTGTAGATGGACCTCTCTGTCAACTCTTCAGTCTTCAGGGGCATCAACAATTTACTGCTTATATTTATTCGATTTTATCATATATATATATATATATATATATAGAACAATAATTTTTTTTTTTTTAAATTAAAATCTTCAGACACACTGGGTTGTAGATTAATATTCTTTCGTTTATTTTTTTATTATTTCATTTAGATTCCTCGACTAGTTTCGGCCAAAATGGCCATCATCGGGAGGAGAAATATTTCTAATATATATATATATATATATATATATATATATATATATATATATATATATATATATATATATGAAAATATTTTCTCTTTCTATATAAAAAGAACACACTCAAAGAAGTCTGTTGAATGCATCAGCCGAAAAATTCTGGTAACAGGATAAACAACAAAAAATTAATATAATTGTCCAAACAAATATTATTGGCTCTTTTATTAATTAGAGCATTGATTTTAAACAGATTGAGTTCAATAGTATGAACCACACTTGCTATTATAATGATACTTCTAAAACTGTAGACTATATTAATGCAGTTGTTTAATTAAACAACAATAGCTGATGTAAACTCTTTGTTCAGATTTGTTGGCCATAGTAAAGACAGCACGAAGCCTATTGGAGACGGACTCAGTAGGCCAGTACCTTAGCCGCATATTGAAAATAATATCATTGCATTTACAGGCCAGGTACCTGCCGATATTACATCATAAAGTGCACACGGAAATATATATTTTTTTATTAAGAAATAGTTAAGAGTGAAGATTTACATAAAACATACAGTGAATTGGTCGGCAGACAGCGTGTTATATTTCAGAATGTCAAGGCAAACCTATACTCAGTAAAATTAATTCAAGGGAAGATCAAAACGTTGGGTGGGGATATTTTATCATATGTTCTTAATTCAAACAGCTTAGTACCTTCAGATTGCAATGTAATCAGATCACAGTAACATTTTCTTAGAACTTTTAAAATTAAGCAAAAAATATTTTCATCCAGAATTTCAGATGTTTTTCAGCAAGAAATTAAAAAAAAATATTTACACGATTTACATTCGGATTGTTGTCCCCATCCTTGTTTTATCACAACGTTTCAATCGTTGTGTCCAGCGGTCTTCATCAGAATTTTGAACTGCAAGCTTTATTTAATCTGTTTACGTGCCACTGCTCATGTCAAGGATATCTCGTCTTGTTTCTCATTTTTAGTTTTGGTCAGTTATTGCTCGTCCCTTAATTACTCTACGAATCGGCATACACCTGATGAAGGCCGGAAAGCACATCTACCGAAACGTTTTCTACTTACTATTAGAAGACTTTTACACAGTATTTATTTCGTCTAACGGCTGACTCACTCGAAAAAACATAAAGAGAATCTCTCTTAAGTTTTCTTAAGAAACTTTACCTGGTCTGTAAAGGCAATGAAAACTTAAGAAACCTTACTTGGTCTGTACATGCAATCATTTTATTTTTAGCATGCGGCTAACTTATCCAGCCTACTGTGTCCATCTCCAGTAGGCTTCGTGCTGGCATATACTGTTTGAAAAACTCAAATATCTGTCTCCACTAAAAATAATGTTTGAAGTAATATTATTATAATATCTCCTCTATATTTAAGATACAATTTAAATAAAAGCGAAACGTTAAATTTATAAATGTTACCAATTTCTTGCTTGTCCTATTATATATATATATATATATATATATATGTGTGTGTGTGTGTGTGTGTGTGTGTGTGTGTGTGTGTGTGTGTGTGTAATGATAAATTAAAAAAAAACACCTTAAAAATCCATATTGGTTATAATTTATTTCATGCATATTGTTATATTCATCTTTTCAGACCAAAAGATTTTAATAAGTGGAATTAGTTCATCCAGACAGATATACCGGGATAAAAAGGAGAGAGAGAGAGAGAGAAAAAAAAAAGAGATAGAGAAAAAAATGGGCCGAAAAAAAAAATAAAAAGGAAAACATAAGAATAATATTAATATAATATCTCCTCCATATTTCAGATACAGTTTAAATAAAAGCGAAACGTTAAATCTATAAATGTTACCAATTTCTTGCTTATCCTATTATATATATATATATATATATATATATATGCGTGAGTGTGTGCGCGCGCGTGTGTGTGCGCGCGTGCGCGTGTGTATGTGTGCGCGCGTGTGTGTGTGCGCGCGTGTGTGTGTGCGCGCGTGTGTGTGCGCGCGTGTGTAATGATAAATTAAGAAAACACCTTAAAAATCCATATCGGTTATAATTTATTTCATGTATATTGTTATATTCATCATTTCAGACCGAAAGTTTTTAAGAAGTGGAATTAGTTATACCGAGATAAAAAAGGAGAAAGGAAAAAAAAAAAAAAAAAAAGAGATAGAAAAAAAAGTGGGGGATAAAAAAATAAAAAGGAAAACATAAGAATAATGAAAAAGGAAGAAAGAAAAAATACAAATATATAAATAAAAATTAAGGGAAGAAAGAAACAGAGAGAGAGAGAG